CTGCTACAGCAAGTTCACATATTATACAAAACCAGGAGGAGTGACTATTACATCAGAGGGTTGTGCTACCACTGAGAGGGACCTTGGTGGTAGGCTGGAGAATTGGGCAGAGAGGAATCTCATAGAGCTCCAACAATGGGAGACGCGAAGTCTTACACTGGGATAAGAATAATTCCAGCCACCAGTACATTCTGGGGTCTGGAGAATAGCTTGGCAATGAAGGGCCTCGGGGTCTTTGGGAACAAAAAGCTTATCATCTACCAGCAATATGCCCTTATGATGAAAAAGGTCAAAAGCATCCTGGGCTACACTAGGAAGAACATTGCCACCATTTGAAAGAAAGTGATCCTTCCTCTGGATTCAGCATGTCTGGAATGCTGAATCCAGTTTTGAGCCCATAGAACAAGAAAGACATGGACATACTGGAGTGAGTCTAGAACAAAGGCAACAAAGATGATTAAAAGACTGAAGTACTTTTGTGTTAAGGAGAGGCCCACTATATCCATACAAACTATTGGCAAAACTTTACCTTCATGGTATTGTTCACTCTATAATTCATATAATTTCAAGTATCTTGAACCTGTATTTGCAAACCACCCTCTTTATACTATTCTTGTCATATTACTTACTTACTACAGTTCTGCTCTGGCAGTCTAACCCTCCACTCTGCTCATCTTTGTGCAGCTCTGTGTTTCCTTTAGGTAGGGAACAATGTCTATTCTCTGCTTACTCAGATTCTGTTTGAATACCATGCACAGCTGTGATGATTAGAAACAGCTGTCGGAGCAACAAAAAAGCAGCATAGCACCACGTGTTTATTAGCTGTAGGTTTGTTCCTTATTTTACTGACTATTGGCTGTTCCTTGGAAAGCAGCTGTGCCTCTTAACTTGGGAAGTTTGTGTTTAACAGTGTGGACACTACCAGCAGTGTCTCTTCATGCCCCCATCTAATAAAGTTCTCACGGCAGCAAATGAGCTTAATAAACTGAAAGCAGTATGTCTTGCTGTGGTACTGGAGGTCTTGTAGCAGAGGACATGTTTGTCAATATACATGTGAAGTAAGGGGGGCCACTTCAAATCCTCGTGCTTTGCAGGTGACTTGATGCACCCAAGGAGCCTCTCTCATGAAAAAAACTGCCTTTCTTCTGGGGATGAGAACTACATATATTTAAAGACTGGCTTCTCTTGCACATTGTAGCAATGAACATGTCTCCAGTTTGATTATCTGAATAGGAGAATTGCTCTTTGGTCTTCCTAGGTAGTCAGAGTGGGCAGATGGCTTATTTAAGCTGCTACTATCAATATGAGTTAAAGGCCTTGGCTTGGCTTTAAATCCAGCCCCATCAAAACAAGGTGAACAGCTGCAGCATGACTCTGTAGTGCAGATGGTCTTGAGCTGAATGGCAGTGACGTGTACAAATGTTCTTTGTGGGCTTTAGTCTTCATAAACCCATTTAGTAGAAACATTAATTGTAGCTGTAAGTGCCCAAGTCAGTGTATGTGCAGTGACCTTTAAAAATCTGCTTTGAGGAAGCTTCCAGATTGATGTGAAGTGATGTGCAGGGTAGCTGTTGTGGAGCAGACTGATGCTGGTAGCTTTATGTGCCTCTCAAACCAGTTCCTTTTGGCTTTTGTACCTTCCAAAGGAGTAGCAATCTGATCCAAGGTAGGCACCATCTTTCTGATACAGGACTCTAGTTATAAAATACTAGGTTCTCATAAGTGAAAAGCTGGGACGTTTTCTAACTTCTGTCTACAGCTTGAATGTCACTAGCCATCAGCAGTTTGAGGGAACCTCTTAACTGGTTTCAATGGAACTAGACCAAATCCTAGTCACTGTGTGCTCACATCTTCAACTTCCTGCCAACTGCGGGCTCTTGTGCAGGGAGCTTCTAGTTAGAGAGGTTTCCTGAGAAGTGATTCATGTCCAGATGCCAGCTGTGAAATGCCTTTCTCATTTGCATACTTACAGAGTGTTGTAAGAGCTTGCATTCCAATTGTTTTTTTCTCTAGAAATATCTGTTCTACTAATTATTTAAGTTCTTAAATCAAAAAGATTTGTGAAAGATTGTGAAAGATTCAGAGAAATCCCACTATTGTGGATTGCAATGCCTTTCTGTTGCAATGCCTTTCTTAATGTTAGAAGTGCAGAGTTGCAAACCCATATTTCCATAAATGCTCAAAACCGTATTCTTAAACTACTACACCAAATCTCAGTGCATATAAAACTGGAATTAAATTTTATAATCTTTCAAATGGAGAGAAACAGAACAATCCTGACACTCCTTTGTAGTGTTTGCCTTTTCATATTTCCATAAGGGTTTATTCATCTAATATTTCTGTAATAAACTCTTCTCCCCAGTGTGACACATCAACAAACCACTATGGATGAATAACAAAGAGTATGCTACTCTTATGTTTTTTACTACTCTCTAAGGACTAACGCCTGCCTTTAGAAGAGGAGGTATCTTGACTTCTTATACAGGGTAAGAAAGCAGGAAAATAATAATAGCTTTGTCAGTGCAAGAACACTTCATAGTGCATCTGAGTGATAGATGACATAAAATTTTTTTAATTCATCATCAAAACAGATCTAGTGGATCACTGTACTTTCCCTTGCATCTAAAGCAATAACATTCAGTTACTCATTCTGATAGAACACAGAAAATAATTTCCTTAAGCCATTTGAAAAATTGCAATTCTGCTTATATTTCATATTCCTTAATCCCTATTCTGCAACTTTTAGACAAGCAAGTAACCGGATTTGCTTTTCATTTTAAATCACAATGTCCTACTTGTGTTTGTGCCCTCAGAAATCCCCCAGAGGGCTAAGAGGCAGTGGTAAAGCAAAAGAGGAAATAGCCAGACAGTCATCCAAAATTCAGTAGTCATTGTTAAAGGGAAGCGGTGCAATATTCCTTTATTTACATATAAGGAAAGAAGAGTGATGAAAATGAATGTAGGAGTATCTTTTTAGAATGACTTGTGGAACAAAGTCAGCAAGTTTCTGTTAGAGTGTGGCATACACTTCACGATGGCACTTAATTTTTATCATCTCCTGTTGTGAGTTATGGGCCTGCTTACTGCTATTGTTTTTAATTCTTTAGCTCTCCCATGGCAGCTGGAGATTACTTAAAATAAATTACCTTGCTGTTTTTCTATGAGAGATGAAATTCAGGAAAGTCTAGCCTCCTGCCATACCAGATTCTGAGTTTTCAAAGGAAAAACTAGGCACATCTTTTATTTTACTAAATTAGGTGAAGGGAGCTCTCTGTCATACTACAAGAATTTACTTGTGCTTTTTTTCTCTAGCAATTGATATTGATGGGAGGAAAAAGTGTAACTGAGCATGTGGTTTATCTCACCCACTAAATTCTCATGGGAAACCACTGTCTTTCAGACAGTTTAAAGTTTAAATTTTTTGAATTTGTTCTCCTTCTGAAATATGTCTGAACCCTTGTTTGGCACTATAACATACACTTGGATGGCATTACCTCTAATATTTCATGAAATGTGCACACAGACTTATAGGCAACATGTAAGTGGAATTAAACAAATACCTCTTGCAGCAACTGCACCTTGAGGGCTTGAGGGCTGCCAGCGTCATTTTCTCCTTTCTTACAGAAGTATTTTCCCCTTCCTCTCTGCTATGCCAATAAACTACATACATGGCCAGCAGGTCAGAGGAGGTGATTGTCCCTCTCTCTGCTCATATGAGACCCCACCTGGACTACTGCACACAGTTCCAATGCCCTCAGCATAAAAAGGCCATGGAACTGCTGGAGCAAGTCCAGAGGAGGCCACGGTGTTGGTAAGAGGACTGGAGCATCACCCCTACAAAGACAGACTGAGGAAGCTGGGTCTGTTCATCCTGGAGAAGAGAAGGTTGTGCAACCTCCCACTATCTGAAGGGCAATACAGGGAAATTGGAGAGGGAGTCAATGTCAGGAACTGCAGTGACAGGGCAAGGGGTAATGGGCACAAACTGAAACAGGGGAAATTTAGGTTAGATATTAGGGAGAAATTCTTTAAGTTGCTCTAGAGGAAGGTGTCCCTACCCAAGGCAGCAGGAGTGGGGACTAGATGATATTTTAGTCCATTCTAATCCCTTAACATTCTACAATTTTATGATTCCATCTGTTATAAGCCAGATACAGGAACATGGTCAAATTATCTGTCAAAAAAATTGTATTAGAAATCACTGCCCTTCTGAACATTTTGTCAATAGCTTCCCAAATTTACACTGGTTTGACCTCATCAATGTCTATAAATGTCTAAAGGCAGGGGTGTCAAGAGCACGGAGCCAGGCTCTTTTTGGTGGTGCCAACCATTAGGACACGAGACAACTGTCAAAAACTGATGCACAGTAGATTTCACTTGAACATGAGAAAGAGCTTTACTGTGTGGGTGACTGAGTATTGGAACAGATTGTCCAGAGAGGGTGTGAAGTCTCCCTTACTGGAGATATTAAGGAACCATATAGACACAATTCCGTGCCAAATGCTCTGGGATGACCCTGCTTAAGCTGGGAGGTTGAACCAGATGACCCACTGTGGTCCCTACCAACACCTTCTGTGTTTCTGTGACTTAAGCTTGCCTACGTCAGACAGAAGACACCCAAAATCACGAGAGATGTTTTGACACAACCGATGTTTTGGATGTATTCTGCAGGTTCGAACTTATCTCCAAGTTGCCGACGAACCCGTGTCTTGTCCCAGCGGAGCGCCTGTGCTTTGGCAGGCTGGCAGAAGCCACCCCGGCTCCGCTACAGCCCGAGGGAGCGGATTCCGATGGAGCGGATCCCGATGGAGCGGAGCCTGCTGGTGCCACCCGGCTCTCCGGGGACCGGGGCCGCGCTCCGCCCCGCCCGCTGCTTTCCGGGCACTGATTGGCTCGCGTTCCGCAGTCCCCGCCACGGCCGCTCGCTGATTGGGCAAAGCCGGCGGTGCTCGCCGCTCATTGGTGCAGGGGGAGCGGCCCCGCCCTTTCCGCGCTGCTACCCGGCGTAGGCGCGGTGCGGAGCCGCAGCTGCCTGCCCGCCTTCACCCATGGCCGACATGGAGTTCTTCGGCGCCCAGCAGCCGCAGCAGCCGCCCGCCGGGAACGGCATGCCCGACGGTGGCGAGGAGGATCCCGCCGCAGCTTTCCTGGCGCAGCAGGAGAACGAGATCGCGGGCATCGAGAACGACGAGGGCTACGGCATCCTGGAGAACGGCGAGGTGCCCGAGGCGCTGCAGGATCCCGAGGGCCTCGGCATGGGTACGCCCTGCGGGGACGGCGGCGGGGCTGGGGCTGAGGGGTCCCGGGTCCCCTTGTCCCTCGGAGCGGTGCGGCGCGGCCGGGCGGGGGCGGTGCCGGCGGGACCCTCGCCCCGGCGCTCTGCCCCGGGCGGGGCCCCCTGCCCGGGGGGTCCCGGGGGTGGGTCGGGGCCGTCCTGGGTGCGCTGTGCCGCAGGGCGAGCTACCTCCCTGCTCCCTCGGTTATGGCTTGTATCCCCTGAAGGTGCCTAAGGCGTGCCCGAGTCCTAATGCGAGCGGTGTTGATCTCGTCTAATCCAGGAGCCTGTCTGAAGGAAGGCTTCTGAAAGCTGAGTAAATCCGCCAATTGAGTTTCTGTCTTCAGCGGGGGTGATCTTAGTCTTAAAGCATAAGAGCAGTTAAGCTAATGTTTAATTTTACTAAACCTTTAGCCTTTGTTCCTTGGTAACCTTTGTACTGAATGTAGCAAACCCGACACTACAGAACCCGCGTTTGGAGCAGGGTGGGAACTGTGTGTTGATAAGTATGGGTTGTGGTCTGATGGTGGCTAAAGCAGCCCAAAATAAACACTTCTCCTTATGAAAAGTTTTAACTGAAGCCTGAGTGGAAAGGGGTTGATGTTGCAACACTCTCAGAAGACTTTGCTTCTACTTGTCACCAGGGCCACAGGGACATACTTGCTCTCATGTGACATCCCTTTATCACTGCAGTAGGATGCCACTCTCCATCAGAGTGAGCTGAATAACTGCTCCCCAGTTCGTTGTTGGAACATCTTTAGAATTAAGTCTTCATTTTGCAACCTGATATCAGAAATTACTTCAGTATCTTATGTATGAGGGGGCAGGTTTGTAGTGTCTCTGTCAGTAAAGTTGGTCTAGATAAACTGGGTAATGGAGACCTTCCAGTGCTTATTTAGAGGTAACACTGCCCTTAACATCAGCTCACTCATAAGGTCCAAAACGTATGCATTGCATACTCCTGAAAAAAAAGATATTTAGTGGGGACTGTTTTGCTCCAGCACAAGAACTTGAGGATAACTGTTATCAGAACACCATCCTGTTTTGGTGCCATACATGATTTGACTTCCGTATTCTACATATAGTGCAGAAACAGACACAATGGTCACTTCCCTTCTTACTTTCAGAAGCCTTAGACAAACATCATGCCTTGCATGGGCTTTATGTTCCAAACAGACTCTGGAGCATTAAAGCGGCTGTTTGAAAACTAATTTAGTTGGGGGAAAAAAAAAATCTATGATTGATCTTTCCACAATGGACTAGAACCGCTAGAAGAGTTATGTTCTCTGCATACATGTAGTGATGACTGTTGCAAAGTGTTTCCTTGTCAAAAAGTTTATTTGTTCAATGCTTCTAGATTGGTTTGATATTTAGAAGTAATTCTTAAACTGCCTTTCAAACACCTTTTCTCAAGTCATGTAAGTTGACTTGTCACGAAGTGCAAAAGGGTTATTGGAGAACTTTAGGAAGAAGTTAATAAAATAATAAATATTGTGTGATCCAAGGATCTGGGAGCTCTAGGCCAGGAACTGTATGCCATCTTGCTTTCTTTTATGCCCTGGGATTGCATTTATGCTCTGGCCTGTTAAATAGGTGTGGTAGATGATGCTTGTGGACTTGTGGTGACCCTGTTTTTTAACAGAACATTGATCTTTGTTGACTGTCAGAGCCTGTACACTCTCTCTCTATGTTAAAAAGCACAGGCTTCAGCCATGCAAAATGTACTGGTTCAGACATGGTGACAAATGATCTAATGACTTCTGTTTCACTTGTGTTACATTTCTTATCATCTGATCAGTACCTTAATAAATATCAGACAGTTGTAGTCTCTGGCATATTAGCTCATTAAACTCTTCTGTAATTGAATAGGTGAATGCAAATTTCTTCTTGAAACAATGCAAGTTCTTATGTAAATCCTCAAGCATCATGACCAGGGATTTGTGGATTTACTTTTTTTAACCGTAACCTTTCTTGAACTCCTTATTTACAGGTCTGTTGGATAACGTCTTTCTAAATACTGGGCCAAAAATACTTGGGCAGCTCTCAACTGGAGTTTGGAGATCTTAACTTCAGATGTAGTCACAAGTAGTCATCAGCTTCTTGAAATACACTTGTAAGAATCATAGTTTCTCATCAGCAAACAGTCTTTCAATTTCAGTCTCTTGGTAAATGATTAGACAGATACATGGACAGAAGTGAACTTCATGAATTGAAAATATCAATATTGGGAATTCTGTTAATTGTCGTAATGGTGGATACTGGGTGAATATGAGGGGAATGGTGGAATGTTGCCAGGCTTGTTCGTGTCACACAGCATCATTGCATGTTGCCAGGATCAGGGTTGGAATGCTGATCCAGGCCTGATCCAGTAGGCCATTCATTATGTAAATAGCTATGCCATTCAAGCTGCCTGAGCTTGCAAAAACCTAATCTTATTTCCCTTGGAAGGTGAAGCATAATCCCTGCTCCAGAAAGCAGAGAGTACTGTATAAATCAAGTAATACAATGCTGTTGCCGAGGTATGGGTAACGTGATGTCTTATGACGTTTCTTTCTCAGTGATGAATCAATGTCCATGTATTTGCAGTGAGATTCTGACAATAGTGTGTCTTGAGGTTGTATTGGTTCACTTACTATGGTCTCTGAGCAAGAGAGGGAGAGTTCAAGGGGAAATGTGTGGTTTCTAGATCCTGTATGCCAATACAAACCATTGTGGCAGTTTGTCAAGTAGCTTCTTACAGGGAATTTCATTCAAAGACAAGCAGTTATATATGTTAACAATCATGCAAATGCACAAGTTTAATGTAGGCTGACTAGTCTCAAACATTGCTTATAGATTTTCATGCTCTCTAAGTTTTATATAAACTTGACTGAATTATGTTTCCCTATCTTTGAAAGATGTTCATGTGTCTCTAGCAATTAAGAAAATTAATTGTGTCTGGTGGTTTGTCTAGGTATTTCATTTAATAGCCTTTCAGGAACTGAGTATCAGTTTGCTTCAAAATTGTTTAGGAAAAAATGAATTCCTCCTGTCTCTGTACTTAGCACCACAGACAGAAAGAGTTCTTGTCTTTGGCTGTTGGCTTTTTTCTTAATTGTTTGGACAACCATTGAACTGGGTTTTGCTATGCAATCAGCATCTGAGGCTTCAGAGCCCCGTAAGATGGCACTGATAGAGGTATGATAAAGGAATGGTATCTGTCTAGCTTGTGTTAGTGATGCTGCATTATTATGTAGTCAGGACAGATTTTTTTTTTTCCCCCAAGAGAATACTAGTGGAAATGTAGAGAAGGGGGAAATTACAGAAGCTGTTGCATTGGAAAATTATAGAAGCTGTTATGGCACAGTGTTATTGCAGGTGTATTTTAATTCTAGCCTATTGATTATATTGAAAATGAGGGAAATCGTGGGTTTTGATAGGACAGCAGATTGAACTGCTTGCCTTTATTTTGCTCATAGGCATGAGAATGAATTATGGCTAGAAAAATAATTTCTTCCCCAGATTTTTGCATAACTATGTAATCAAAAGTTTTGTACAAGATTCTTCTTTCTTATCATGTTATGGGTTAGAGGTAGGTAAAGGAAAGCATGACTGTGCCTGAAAGAGAAAGGATGGTAAACTAGACCTTGAGTGGTGAAGTTACTTAACCTTATGTCAGAATATATTAAAGTTTATGTTCTTCTGTTGCTTTAACTAGAGCTGCTAACTAATTGAAAGTAGCAGCACTTTGAGTACTTATTGTTTAAAAGAGATGCTGAAGGTAACTCGTAAAAAATACTTCTATTTTAAAAGAGTATAAGAAAAATGTTTCAGTTTACTGCAAAGCCCTGCTTCTGATGTTTCAGGTAACAGTCCTCTTTTGCATTGAGACTAAGACTTTAGAGAGGCTGGTAAACAAGGCTAAACTGACTTTCTTTTAAGCCAAGTGATACTGAATGCTAATAGTTATAGTAGCAGCCTTCAGAATAGTTGATCATCATAGTGATAAATCTCTGAGGTCATATATTGACTTCTAGGACTGAAGTGACAAAATGGTTTTTGTATTTATCTTCAAACTACCCAGCCTTTTCTTTTATAAGCTGTAGTAAATGTGGAGGGCATTAATGCTTGCTTTCTATTTCTGGTGCAAGCTTGGGTGTTGTACCTCCTGTGAATGCAAGGCAGCTGATATGACTTATCCTCTCCAGACTCTTCCAGACTCTAAAAGGTATCTGTGTTGCTGTATGAATGTTCATTATTACCAGATTGTCAGGATGTGTTGCAGAACTGTAGATTTTTATATGTGTTCATTGCAACAGTGCCCTTAAAAATAAGAGTTTATCTTCAGTTCAAAAGCAATCAACAAGGAGTGTGGATCATTGCTAACTGAGATGGTTCTAAATGTGTGGATTTTAACTTCAGGAGATACAGTACTATGATAGATTTGGATGGACTCTGAAGGCAGTAGAGGAGTCTCGTTCATGGCTGCTGAAAATGTTACGATGGCACTAGCAGTATTTAGACTTTTTCTGTGGGAAGCTTATGAAATTGCATGTTTCTGTGAACAGAAACATCTGATACACGGCTAGCATTGATTACTGATATGAAGGCTGGCAGACAGACAGTTTTTCTATACTTCATACTTAATTATACAAGCATGAAGACTGGAGAGCTGAAATGAAGGAATGTTTGACTATTGGTCTTGTTCCAGTTAGCACAATTGTATTGGCTTACGACAGCATGCTGGTGCAGTTCTGTTTCCTCTTCTGCTTGTGATAAGCTCAGTCAGCATGCTGACTCTGCAGCTTAATTGCAAGTTCTAGGGAGCTCAGAACAGATGGGAAATTTGCTCTAACACTGCTAATGCTTCTAACCTGGGTGCCCTCTGGAAACAGTTCAGTGTCTGTTAGTGGCTGTTTCTATGCAGAACAAAAATGGCCCTTAGACAAAGCTGTGTGTTTCATTTCAGGTACAGCCTTAAACAGTGATGTTGTTCCTTTTACCTGACAGCCTGAGTAGTGAAAACCGTATTAATGTTTTTTGGTGTGATAAGAAAAACATATCATCACTGTCCTTGGAAGTATCCTCAAGATTTATGAGCCCTCTCACCCAGCTGGTGACTTTAGTCTTTTTAAAGGTCTCCTGTGCTTTGCAGAGGAGTAGGAATCTGACAAAGTAGCAACTATCTCTCAGTTATGGGAGTCTAGTTATGAAATACCAGTTTCTCCTAACTGAAAAGCTATTTTTTTCTTAATTTGAGTCTTCCCCGGCGAAAGTTAGTAGCTGTGTTCTTGGGGACTAGTATTCTCCAACTTAACTGCCATTCTTGAACTGGTGAATTTACAGTCCTCTACATAACACAGTTAATGATTGCTCTTCAGGGCTCAGAGATAAATATTTAACACACTTGCCTAGTTCACTGATAAAGGAGTATGAAGAACTTCCTGTGTGCCATTCACTAGAATTATGAAATTATGGTGCATATTTAGCCAGAAACAAGAGGATACAGCAGCATAACTTGCTTAGTTTTAGGTCAGTCAGCTATCTGTTTTTAAGAAGGTGGTGCAGAATAAAATAATTTTTCTGCTTACTGTTTGGTACAGTCACTTCTTTCACTGAGGGGTGTATTGTGGTGGACACTCTTTTGTGTGATACCCATGGTGGTATGAGTAACATGAGTACTTGGTATAGCACACAGACAGATGTTAGGTGGCACTGCTCCAGAGAGATGCCCTGCTGAAATTTAGCAGTTCCTAAAAATCTTGGTGTATTTTGCATAGTCCAGAGATGTAAATAGTTTCAAAAACTTGAAAGTTTGACTCACAACTGGTATTCGTTCCCTATGGCTGAATGGCCACTGTCACTTTAGAGATAATAATGCTGCGGTTGAAGTGGGAGCTATCAAGCATGTCATCACAGATGGTAGCAGAAAGGTGACTTTGCTAGGAATGTTAGCTGTATCTTTGAGCTAATTAGGAGATAACAGCAATAGGATAAGAATTACCAGTTGTTGGCTGCAGCATTGTTAATCTTCCAGGTAGACGCTAAAAAAACTGATAGTCACCCTTCTTAACTTCAGAGCAGTTGTATAGTAGTCAGCTTCTAAGAGAGGGAGGACTGAGTGGGAGTAGCTTTAGAACACAGTCTGTAGCAGCTCTTCAGCAGTATCAGCTCTGCTCTTTGTGTTGTTAAAAGCAGGATCTCATGATGAAGAAATGACTTTGTATTTCTGGTTCTGCAGAATGGTGGCTCACTTGGTTTTTCATGCCTGTCCGGAAGAGTGCAGGGGGAGAGAAATGTCCCTGCAGAGTATCAAGTAACATTCACTTTCACAGTTCCCATGTTACCTACTTTAATAAAGCTTTCCATACAAGTTACAGCAATCAGTAAATCTGGCTGTTCTACCTTTCTCAAATGACTAAACAAGTCACCTCTTTACAGATGCCGTTGCTGGAGTGGTTAACGGGGATGTCTATCAGGTAAGATAGAAGTATTCTGTACTTAGAATGTGCTGTTCTACTCTGAGAACTTTACCTTAATATAGACTAATACTTCCTGTTTCTTGTCTTTAAAGTAATTTTGTCTCATATCTGAGGAGGGTATTCTGTACTGGTAGCTCATCTCATGGAGTTGTCAGTCTTCTTAATTATGCCCATCCTCTGAACTTAGAGGCCACTTAAAGCAGCAGTTAATTTTGAAATGTGGCTTAACAATAGATAAGCACTGTAAAGCAGACTGTTAGGCTCTGTGATACAACTTTACATTGACTTGCACTGGCTGCTAAGCTGAAAGTGTGCTCTGATTACCTAGTTTAAACAAGAGTTTTCAGATTTGCTTGCTCTTTAAAGGTAGTCTTTATCAAGATAGCCTTACAAGTAACGGATTGAAAACATCATACATTTCTTAGTGACTTGAAGATGTATGAAATTAAGCTGATGGCTAAAAATCACAGTATGAGCTCAGTCACAGTATGAAATCATGTTAGACAGCCATGGTAATGGCAAAAGGAGGAGATACCTGCTTTATTGGTGTCAGGGAGCAATGAGGCACGCTAAGGCAATCACTTTGTTGTAACTGAATTTCACATCAGTTTGTCCACAGTATGGTCATTGCCTGGTGTCACAGTTGGCTTGTTAGCCTGACTAAATGAATGCTTGGGAAGGAAGCAACACGTGAGCCATGTGCTTCTCCTTAGAGTTTTGAGTGAATGCTGAACTTTGTGGAGACACAAACAGCTTTCACTGCTGCTGGCATTCTTATATCCTCAGCATTACTGTGAAATTGATGGGACAACCTGTATTTTACAGGCCCTTTGCACTTCCTTGAACAACAGAAGGTGGATTTCCCTCTTTAGATATCTTGATTTTATATTTAGAATTCTGAGAGATCAGTTGCTTTGGTTGATGGAGCTTTCTCTTAATCAGAAAGAAGACACTGGATGGGCTATACATAACTTAGGTTTTAGCTCCCTGTAACTAGCTGGCCCTGCAGCTGGCCATGTTATTTTGCTTTGGATGAAATGTGAAGCCTGGTGGTGTTGCACCAGCCTAACATCTTCTTTTTGCATTGTTCCTTCATTGAGGGCTATGGGATGGCCAGAGAGGGGCAAGATACAGCCAAATGTGTGGTCAGCTGCAATCGACCTGGTACTCTTAGGAGTGTATAGTATAGGGATAGGATGGAGCAATAAAAGTTGTTAAACTTAGAGTATCTTCTGTAGCAAGTACCACAATATTCATTAGCTTTGAAATCTGGTGTATTAATGTTAGCCCTATTCATTTCAAGTCTTTGAGATGTTACATTGTGAAAAGGATGCTAGTACTCTCACTGTTCTGATGATTAAATATTGAAATGCCTCTTGTGTTATAAGCTGCATACAGCAATCCAAATTTTGTAATGTGGTATTGTAATGTGGTATGGAAGTGTCTCTTGAAGTGGACAAAACATGCAAAGAATGTTTTGTACTCCTGTGCACAAAACCATAAAGAAAAGTATTTCACAGCAGATATTTAAGGTGAGATGAACTCAGAGAATATCTGGCCTACAACTCTGTACTGAGGTGCTAGGCATTGTCTTCTGCGTTCTGCAGGCTTAGTGCTCTGGCACTAAGTGTTTGTGGCACTTGTATTTCCAGTTGTCTCGAATTTTTGTTTGATACCTGATTTCTGGAGTAAACCCTGTGTTAATTTCCTTTAATTCTTTTGTAATTTGTAGCAAGATGTTTTTAATGGTGGAAATGTGTTATTGGCTCAGTTCAAATAGAGTCTAATTTTATATAGCCGGCAGGCAGTTATCTGAAATCACTTGTACTGCAAAAATGACTTTACTGTTCCTTTCCTCCGAGGAGAGTAATGGTCCCACAGACTGCTATGCTGCCATCTCCCAAGTAGATCGACTGCAGTCAGAACCAGAAAGTATTCGTAAGTGGAGAGAGGAGCAAAAGGAGCGCTTGGAGCAACTTGGTAAGCATGGTATTTGTTGAGTAACCTATTGTCAGCTTCTCTCAGACTGAGAGAGGTGGGGGTGTTCTACCTGGAGAAGAGTAGGCTCTGGGGTGACCCTAGAGCAGCCTTCCAGTACCTGAAGGGGACCTACAGAAGAATTGGAGGGGGAATTTTTACAAGGGTGTGTTGTGTAGTTTGCAAGGGGTGATGGCTTTAAACAGAAAGAGGGTCAATTTGGATTAGTCATAAGGAAAAAATTCTTTATAGTGAGGGTGGTGAGGCACTGGCACAGGCTGCCCAGAGAAGCTGTGAATGCCCCATCCCAGGCTGAATGGGGTTTTTGAGCAGTCTAATGGAAGATGTCTCTGCTCACAGCAGAGAAGGTGGAACTAGGTGATCTTAAAGGCCTCTTCCAGCTCAAGCCATTCTGTGATTCTTAAGCAGTACAATTCTGAACCATGGCACTGCCTTTTCAGAGTCTTAATATACTTCCTGAGTTCAAGGAGCAAGCCTGGATGAATCTTCTAGTAAGCAGACTTAAGACTGGTGTGGGAGTCAGCAAGGAAGTGGCTCTCTGAACCTTTTCCTAGGTAAAACCTCTACTTAGATGACCTGACAGAAAATGAAAAGCTTTAGTAAGCTTTTAAATAAATAAATAAATTTATTTAATAAATAAAATTTTATAAATAAATACTGCAGTCATTAGTATTTCAAAGGATAAAGATTATTCATTTTGTAATTGCTGAGGCCATCTGTTGTCACATGGATCTTAATCTAATAACTAAATTAAGAAAATAATGGATTATTAACTAAACTAAATACAGCTATCAAATGCAGTGGTACTTACCCATGGACAGTGTCTAAGACACTACAAACTGGTGTGCTTCCCACTTATATGGTGGAGGAGCCTTTGTTTGAAATTGTTAGGACAGAATCTTCTGTAAAATGTAATTCTGGATAGAACTGACTGTTTTACTCCTCTTTTGTACTAGTTACAGCAGGTGAGGTTGTCCTGAAGTGTAGGCTGTGTGTAAAAGTATGTGGAGTGCCAGGTTTTTTCACTTTGTCTAAGCATAGAGGCTTTCCTAAACTTTGTTCTGGCACTGGCATAACGAGATGACTGTTTCTGGTTTGAGCAGTTTGCAGACCAATAGATTTACTGAATCTGAACTACTCTGCAAAATGCCTATCCGAAACTGAAGTGGACTGTCCCAGTTATGCAGCACAGGAGTTCTGTTCAGCTAATCCTCTGAATGTTTGTAGTATTTAGAGTTCTCATAAGTCTAATCAGGAAATCTAACCTTACCTGATGAAGCAACTGTCTGCACTAGAGTGCAGCCTGAACCATCAGTTGAAATGTTTGCAAGATGCATTTGAATACAAACGTGACTGACAAAGCAATTCTTAAATCTTCAGATGCAAACTCACGAAAGCAGGAAGCAGAATGGAAAGAGAAAGCAATAAAAGAATTGGAAGAGTGGTATGCAAGGCAAGATGAAAAGCTCGAGAAAACAAAAGCCAGTAACAGGTAAAGTTTTTCCAGCCATCAGGAGAGTTATGGTTCTAGTTATGAAAATAATTGGGAAGGGAGGTGAGAATACTTCTTCTATGTCCTAAGGCAATAGTCCTTCAGATCATTAAAATAAACACTCCTACTACCTACCTTTTTAAGTTTTCTTAGATCATCTAGATTAAATATCCAGGAAGCATTCAGATGATGTTGAAGTGTTACTGAGGACTCCTTAGCACACAAAGCTTGAACATGGCCAGAAAATATTTTACTCTACCCACTTGTTGTCATGCTCCCAGATGCACAGGCCTTCAATGTCTGCAGTTACCTACCCTGAGACTAGCATTCTTACTTGCTTACTTTAGAACATATGGAAGTGGCATTCTAGTTAATCTTTGCTACAAGTAATTTCGTTAAATATCTTAAAATCTTCTGCTGCTCTTTTTGGAAGCAGTTCAGAAATAACGTGACTCAGTTCTGCTAGTGAAAAACTAAATTCTGACTGTATCTGTAGTGGTTTGAATTGTCTGGTTATGGGTCCTGTGGTAGAAAGTGATGACTTGGTTGCTGGGAATAGTAAACTCTTACACTTTCTTAGAAGCTCCATGTGGAATTTTGACTTCAAGCTGCATGAAATTAGAAGTGATAGGACTGACTTAATGCCTCTTAAATCTCTACTTCATTCTATGCAGGTAATCATCAAGACTGCTTTATATTTTGGGAGCTCAAAGGGTTCAAGAAGAACTGCTGTTTTGTTCATTTTGTTGTTGTTTTTTTGTTAGTTTTTTTGAAATACCGCTTTTCTTATCAAAATGGCTATCAGGTTTGTCTTTAATAAATAAAGTCCTAGGTAGACTTCTTTCTAGAGGAAGAAAGGAGGCCTACACTGCCTTCAGAATTATGGATTTGCCACTTCCTTAACATTCACTGAGGAATTCACTACCTTTTGGTTGAGCGAAGAAACGGAAACAGGATTAGTACTGTCCCAGTTGGTGGCCAGAGTTGATGGAAGCTTTATTATGGTTAGTGTTTGAGTGCAGGACATGGAGTTTGGAGCAGGGCTTGTTAAACAGGTGTTGCACAGAAGTGCTTGGCATTCTCATCTTGCCTGATGGTAGTTTCTCTCCTCTGGGAGTAGTCTAATGACAACATTGGGGCTCTAGGCCTCAGCTAGCTGATCCAAACTTCCAGGATGTAGAAGAATTTCTGTGTTCCCCTCTGACCAATGGCTTAATTGATCCATTCCATGTGGTAACTGCTTTCATGTTACAGTAAGTCTAGGTGATGCAAGGTTAATGTGCATGTTAAAACTGCCTCCAGCTGTGTTCTGTACTTCTCATCCTTATCTCTTTTCTCCTGCCTGCTTGCCTGCCTGTTGGACTACTTGCTACCTAGGGTGGCAGATGAAGCTTTCTACAAACAACCCTTCGCTGACGTGATTGGTTATGTGTATGTTGCTTAACTACTAATTCTGTTTGCTAGTTAACATGATAATAAGAAGGATCAGAAATAGTGCTGAATGTCTGAAGGTGCCTTCTGAGTATTTACTTTTTGGACCACTTCTGGTCTGCAGTATTAAGTGCAGTTCTCCTGTATGCACTGCACAAATGATAGCACTTTCAGATTAAGTCATGTAATGTATGTAGCACTGGAATTATGGTAATGACTTCAGTACTCTTTAGACCTAAGGGTTTACAGTTGTTTCCAGGCCAGTGAACATCAGCAAGATGCTTTGCTGGGGATGTGGGTTAGTGCCTGTAGTTTCACATGGGTGCTGTATTTAGTCCTTCCACAGAGAAGCAGCATTTAACTCTGTAATAGGCAGTGACCACCTGCTTTGCCTACATATTAGAAAAACATTCAAGCAATGCTTGCACATAAAGGTTCACAAGAAAGCCAGGGAAGGCAGAAAGGAATTGCCTGACATGAATCAGGGCAGAAAATGTGTATGCATGTAGAAATAGGAGGCTATTAGAGAACAGATGGAAAGTACAAGATGGTGGCATTGAAATTACTGTAAACTGCTGGGAAGACATTTAGGAGCAGTGAGATGTTTTGCCAGCCTAATAGGTCAGTGAAAACAGAGCTGTGACTTTCAAGCCCCAGTGAGTATGCTAGTTTCTGAGGGGTAGAAGGATTGCAATGTTCATTGGCTTGTTCATATATTTTAATTTCTTCCCTTGATTTGTAGACTTGAATTGAAAGATGGACATGTCACAGATTCTAAGGTGACACCTTTAGAAGGTGTACTGGTGAGCCGTGTTGTGGCTTTGAGTGCATTATTACTGAAGGTTTAGTGTGAAATTCACAGCTGACTGTAGGTGGATGTAAACCAAGACTTGTGAAATGATGGATTTACAGGTGGTGTTTAACTTTTCTGAAATCTCATGGAGTTGGTTTTGTTAGATTTTTTTCAATAAAATTCTTATTGTTATATGTCCAATGCAAATGTGCAGTGTAAGTGCTGCATAATAAAACTGGCTGCCTGTTTCCTGAATGTAGGCTAAGCTACTAGTGCATGTTCAGCCAGCTAATCATCTGCATTAAACTCATTCTCATTTTCTATATCTGACTTAAACTTTCTCTCCTTGTTTCTTTTCTTCTCTTCACCTTTAAGCACAAACATAAATCATCCTTGCTACAGCCTAGAACAGTTAAGTAAAAAAATCTTCACTGCCCCTTAAAAGTGTCATGTCACATTAAAGTAGCAGTGTTGTAGTGATCCTTGTCTTCAGTGGTGTCTGTAATCTTATCATCCCTGTGAATAGTGCTGAACCCTCATGGGAGAGTCATTTTCACTGCTTTCTCTGTACTGCTTGTTGGAGTAGATGGATTTGGTTTGATCTCTTGATGCTTACTGCTTCTGCACTCAGGCAGCTACCAGGGCCCACAGCTCATGTAAACTAGATGCTGAAGTGTTGTCCCTGCATTGAAGCAATGCTATTGGAAGCATAGAAAAGCCAAAATAATACAGCTGGAAGCCACTGGCACTATCCAGTGCATAATGTACAAAGCCTTCTTAGAGTCTCCTTAGGGTGAGAGCAGGGGAAATCTGTTTGTTCTGTGAGGTGACCTCACACGAGTCATCTCCTCTGCCAAGATAAGCTGTAGTCTATTGCACTCACAAGCATGGGATTCCTGAATTAAATTCCTTATGATTCATGCTGCTTCACTACAGCATTGGGAATCATCAGCAGATAGTTTTATGATGGCCTGTAGGCCTTGGGGCTGATTTAAATCCTCAAATGGAATTTGTTTAAGACATGCTTGCAGGCAGTTGTAAATTTCCAGTTGGCAAATGACCAGTATAAGCCATCAAGCGGCAGAGGCTTAACTGGTTAAGACCTGGGCATTTCTTCACAAATAAAATGCCTACATAGAAGTACCTTACTTCCTGGAAGCTTGTGTGGCGACTCCTTAGGCAAAGACTCAATAAATATTCTTAAAACCAAACACCTGTATTCCAACATTTTACACAATCCTCTGCGATCCTCTGCACTGCTTGTGCATAGCATACTACTGCAATCTACTTTCATCTCCTGGACTGGGGCAGTGGGAGCTTATGTGGCCATAATGTCCACAAGCAGCTGTCAGGTCACATTTCTTATGAAACATGCTGAAAGAAACTGCATCCTGTAAGAGGGAAGGAGTGCCTTATACGCTGGGCATTAACACAAGGTGCATTGCATTGCTTTTAGGGCAGCTGAAGAAGCCTTTGTGAATGATGCAGAAGAAGTTTTTCCGGGCACTGAGTGGGAACGTGTGGCTCAGCTCTGTGACTTTAATCCCAAGTCTAGTAAGCAGGCAAAAGATGTGTCCCGCATGCGTTCAGTCCTCATCTCGCTCAAGCAGGCTCCACTGGTTCGCTGAAACAAAGGTCGATGGAGACACTACAAATGCAATATCTTAACCTTACTCAGAGAAGCTATGTTTGCAGTAATTTGATTAATTGTTTCAATGTGTATTTTTGGACCACATCATGATGTATCTAGAGCTGATCATCGTTTGATTGCATGTTCTTCCTGATGTTTCCTTTCTGTGTCTGAAATGGGAGAACCTCCAAAACTGTAGTCTCTGTGCTGTTGTGCACTGAGGTGTCACTTCCTACATTACTGATATTAAAGATCTGTTAAACAGCAAAATGTGTTGACTTTGGATGAATTGAGAAGGTCTCCTACTTCCTTTTGACAGAGGGTGTTTGAATTAAGTGTGAGTAAACATTTCTCTTGATTGCTAGTGATTTCACTTTGCTGGTGGAATGTCCAGCCAGCAGTGCTTCTGGTCTCTGCAAGGCTGTCCTCCTTGTTTCTTTAAGCTTTCTTAAAGATCTTGAGAGCTTTAGTTTAAAAACTTCTCTCCTATCCAATTTATCACACTAGACAGCAGCTCAAGAAAACTTAAACAGCAGGCTTGTTAAGGGGCTTATCTTGCTTCCAGTGGGACTGAGGACGCTGCCTCCTGCAGGTAAGTAGTTCTGTATAATTTTCTGCTGTCATTCTGGCTGCCTGTCTGAGGCTCAACATACAGGAGAGGGCAGTGCACAGTTAAGACCTTTGGTATTCTACTGCTTATTGTGTTCCCGCTAGATTTTCAGTGCTGTCTTCATAAGCAAAGATCTGTGGTGTAGAGGCTGTTTGGATGTTTTTGAACTGTGTGTGCTTGTCCTCACTGACTTTTGCAGACACTTCCTCCTGCTAGGGTGGTGAACTGGAGAGTTGGAGAGTAAGAGAAGGAAAGACTTGCTCTTACAGCTGCTCATCTGTAGGATGGAGCTCTGTCTGCCAAGGTGGTTGAATCTGAAACAAACTGATCCAGAAAATCTCTGTTCTGCTTCCTTTGCTCACCCAGCAGTCACAGGAGCTGTATTCTAGCCTTGCTCTGTTAAACCTTACCTTAGCTGTCTGTCTTCCAAAAGTAATCTGTTCAATCTCCTATGTTATTCCACCATGTTTATCAAAGACACAGTATCTTAACTAGTCTGTAGCAAAATTGCTTTAATACCTTTTATCTACAAGCTGGAAGGTTACTCCAGACAGTTTGGAAAGGGTGGCAGATGCAGACTACGATGGACCAAGGCTCAGGATTTTACTGCACAGCAGCTGTCTTACTAGCAGCTGTGTCCCTTTTGTGGGTAAGATAGTCAATAAATGGTTTCCAGTTGGGCTGCAGTAGTTAAGCTCTACCTTACTGTTGTCTGTAACGACTGGACCTACTCTCATGTTTGCAAGTGTATTCACACACTACTGATGGGTGGTGATGAGAATTATAGTAGGTTACTGGTCTGAAAGCTTGATTCCCTGGAAGATTAAGGCAAGAAGATCTCTTCGGAACTGCACAAGGGTATGGCAGGTGAGTCCAACAGGATTGAAGCACAGAGGAAGTCCATAGAATACTGATACTCATTCCTAGCCTTGACTAGTTACGCATTTACCTTGACTGAAAATTTCCTTTTTGCTGCACACTCAAAAGCTCTGAAAACAAAGCTGTTCAAAATGAGCTCATAATTTATTAAGGAAAAGTCCACTACATTAAATATACAGTCTTTAAAGTTAATATGAATTTAAGCGAATTTGAGAGATCAACAGGATAGAGATGTTCCTGCACAATGAATTATGGTATTTATTGACCACTACATTTTCTTGTCTTACAAAATATGTTATCTGGCTATGGATGTGGCTTAGAGCTGCAATCCAGGAAAATGGGCAAAGACTCGAATTCAAGGCCAAAGCAATGTTACAGAAGTTAAAGTAGTATTTTATATGCTGGGTTTGCAGAGGTTAAGAATATGTTTGCATATTTTTGACATATTTTATCCTGCTGGAGCACTTAAAATGCAGCTCTCTGGGTTCTGATTACCTTTGCTAACTCTGGTGCAGAGATTTTGCAGATTACCTCTTCTGCCTTAATTTTGCACTCAGGTATCCTAGCTCTCTGCATCCTTTATCAGTGCTGTCACAAAATCATACACTGGCTGTGGTTGGAAGGGACCTCTAGAGGTCATGTGGTTCAGCTCCTCTGCTCAAGCAGAACTGCATTGAGCCTGTTGCCCATGATCGTATCCAGACAGCTTCTCATGATCTCCAAGAAGTGAAACTCTTCTTCCTGTCTGGGCAACCTTTGCCAGTGCTTGGATACCTGCACAGTAAAGAAGTGTTTCTGATGTTCAGATGGAGCCTCGTGTGTTTCAGTCTGTGCCCAGTGTCTCCTGTCATGGCACAAATGAAAGAAGCCCATTTTCTTTGCACTCTTGCTTCAGGTATTCATATACACTGGTAAGATTCCCCTAAGCCTTCTCATTTCCAGGTTGAATAGTTCCAGCTCTTGGGCCTTCCTCACAGAAGAAACCTGTAGCTGCTTTATAATCTTTGTGGCTCTTTGTTGAGCTCTCTCTGGTGTGCTTATCTCTCTCGTGTACTGGGAAACTTAGAACCAAACATAGCACTCCTGGAGTCAGGACATCTTCTGTGTCTGAGAATTGTGTGACAGAGCAAAATAATTCTCAGGTTTATTTGGGAAAATCAATTCCCTTGTCTGTGTTTCTAAACATTGACTTGTTTTTTTCAGAGGTCAGTATCTCACTTTGTTTTGTAACTTCATGTGACAGTTTTGTGCTACACTTCTGGCCTCCTGTTTACTGGCTTTAACTTCCCACTGTTGCTGCTTATCTTCATAGCATTAGTCAGTGGAATCTGGCAAAATATTTGGATGCTTCCTGTCTTTCAGATATAATCCCAGCTGCATGTGCGTGAAGATCTCATGCAGTATTGAGAGGGAATCTGTGGACTCTTGCTGAATACATCCTGGTATAGAACTTGCTTTGTTTAGCTTCTGATCAGGTGGTAGCCAGCAGCCAGGCAGTCTGAAATTACAATGAGCATTTGTAAAGAAGGGGGATGGAGGTCATGGGTTCATTGGAAAGCAGGGAGGCTGAAAACAACAGCACTGTGCATTCTCCTCTTAGTCTGTGGAACATGGTTAAGTTTTAAGCAGCCATAAAAAAAACATGGTGTTATCTTTCTTGCTGATGTTTCTTTTTTTTTTCTGATCAACCAGTTAAGAGGCAAACATAGATTACTGGCTTGTATTTCAGAATGGACAACATGGGTGTCTATAGTCTTTGCCAAGAGGATTCCTCCAGCAGTACTTGTCATGCAGGCATGTTCCTTTGCAGAACCATGTGCTGTGGCACTACTTCTAATCCATATATAATTATCTGGAATGCTCCAAGGAGTGTACAGCCCAGGTGTTTTATACTTACTAAAGCCTGATATCTCCATGGCATTTGAAATTGACAGAGTGATCAGTTTTCTCTGAATCCAAGTGTAAATTCTGTCTGCACCTTACTCTGTGTTGTGTTTTAATACAAAATTGCCATTGCCTGAATAATACATTCAAGTTTTTGAGAGTTTTGTTACAATTAAATGGAGGAAGGACAGTGCTTCAAGACCACCTAGAAAACAAATGAATTTGTTATTTCCAGGTCACTGGGTGGCATATCAAAGATTCAAAATACTGAATAACTAAACTTGATGATATGGGCTATTCTAAAGGACAGTGGGCCAGCATCAAGTAAGCACATCACTGCAGATATTCTGTGAACATCTGATGTTTGCTCCTGGGACTGGATGCAACAGGGGGCTAATATTCATAAAATCTTTGGTCCACGTTAAAGTAGCTGAAGTTCAAAGGATGCCTCTGAACAGGGAAAGAAGGAGAGACAAAGAAAACCACTAATTATGCTATTAAACATGATTTTTTTATTATTTCTGATTTTATAACCTGCTTGTACATACACAGCAAGTTCTTGACCAGTTGACAGAAAAAAAGCATTTTCAAAAGCATTTGAAGAATTGTTTCCTTAACATGACGTTAAAGGTGTAAAACACACTTTTCAACTGTGTTTTAGTCTGTTGTGTTTTTTCTGTGCCTGCACTCTCCCTTCAGCCGCTAGGGAAAAACATTTTGAGTCTGAGATACCAGAAATACAGAGCTTCGGAGGGTCTGGAAAGCAAAAGCCTGGTCCCACTTTTAGCCAGGCATTCCAGCCAGGCATTCCTTGTGATAGCAGAGGATGGAAAGATCAGATGACAAGCCTCCTCACTGTCAGAACCTCAATACTCCTGATCTGAGCTACTGTCACTGCAGAGAAATCCCAGTTTCTCCCTGACCTGCTCATACAGCTAATGCTCTGGTAATTAAGGTAATAGGAATCATCAAGTAAACCAAGACTTGTAGGCAAAGGAACTAAAACTCCTTGGTTACACAAAGCCTAGTATAACTTGGCAAACAGCTAAGAACCAGTTATTTGCCAATGGTATAGAGGCTGCATGATTGTTTCTGGAGACATCTGGAGGGAGATCTGGCAGTGTTCCTGAAATCTGCTCTGAATATGTGAGTTACCAGTAAGCATTCCTTGTGGAAGACAGGGTGAAATAAAGGCAATCTGTATAGATTATATCCCAGAATTAGCGAGTGAACTATTCAGTCCAAGTTCATTGTATAGCAGAAGATTGCAGAAGATTGTTTCATTTTGATTGGAGGAGAAGTTCAAGTGTGGACATAGCCCCTGTACTAACACATTACTGGGCTTCTGAGAGTATCAGTGGTTAAGATGTCAAAATAGGTCATTAAATTCAGGACAGGAAAGTCTTGTGACTGTTCCTCCAGAGCTATCTTTCTGAATTAGCTGATAGATGGGTTGGTTTTTCAGTTTCTCCAGCATCTTGAAAGTATGCTAAAAAAGCAGCTGGATAAAGACATCACTGTAATCAAGGACTCATTAAAGAAATAAAAACCACGGTTTACTTAGGCAAGCCTTCACTGGTACTTGACATACTTTTCACCTAGGCCTCTGAATGCTCTGAAGGCAAGGATAAGGGTCAGATGTGACTTTCCATCCTGAAAGCAGGAAAGACGGTGAAAGCAGGACAAGAGCAGTGCACCTGCAGCCACCCAAATGGCTGAGGGGATGCACTGTGTCACTGCAATGAAAGGCAGATTCTCTATGATGAGCTGTGCCATGTGGTTGAATTTCAGCTAACTGGCTACCAAAGAATAAGCAACCCCCCTCACTTAAAGTAGTAGATTAAGTCTTTTGAGAAATCCCCCAAGATTAAAATTCAAACAATTTACTATTGGCCAA